AGAGATATCTCCATCGAGTGGATAAAGAATCTGAGTACATCTGATTGGTGGTTGTGGATAGTTGAATCTACAAATATTTTTAGACTTTTTCCTGCAAGTATGAGAATGTCTGTGTGTCTGTCTATTCACAAGATCAAGTAATTCTGTATCATCTTCTGGTTTGCTGCAGGTAATTATGCTATCAATATAAGCAACAACATCTTCATCTTTATCAACACCAAACACAGGTGCATTTTCAAGCCATATCAACATATGAATATGAGGTGATCCCCGCTGTTGGTATTCAACTCTATAAAACCAATCTTTAATTTTTCCTAATGGAGCAAGCTCGCTCATTAAGACATCTTTTAAGAAGGTATTGAACTGAAAATCAAAATGTCTTGAACAGGTTACTGGGTCACTTTGTATTAGTCGACACCTTTCCTCCCAATTGAGATTGTTCAATTCCTCATCACTATAATCCTTGTGATCAATAAGTTTACCAAGAATTCTTAATAAATGATTCCATTTGGTTTCTGCTGATGAGAAACTGCAAAATAATGATGCTGGTCCTAACTGACGAATCATGGCAAACAAGTCTTTTTTGGCTCGTTCAAAATAAGGTGGTGAACCCCTAAGAGTTTTCAAGAATCTGAAACCATCATCATGGTTTATTAAACTTTGTAAACCTTCTGCAGTTTTTAGGTCTCCAGCAGTAAGTGTTCTGGTACCTATTTTGTTTTTTCGGAGTGCAATCTGTGACTGACCAATCAAGAATTTCATTTGTAACTTCTTAGCTTTGAAGAATATGTTTTCAACACACATGGCAGCCCGTCGATCAGATCTTCTTAACTCAGATTTACATATGTCACTATAGTAAACACTTCTCAACCTTTGTTTATCATCAGGTCTTTTTTGTCCAAGAAATATGCCTGGATATGACATTTCTTCAGAGTACTGATCTCTAAATATACTCAATGGCCTGTTACCTTCACCAGGAGCAACATTATAGATTTCCTGTCTTTCACCATCACTGACAAAGTCTGGAGGAGTCAACATACTATCAGTTACTCCAGCTGGTATTTCTGCTTCAGCCTCACTCCATTCATCTTCAGGGAGGTTTGATGTTAAATCATCTGCACCATTTGATGTCTCAATATCACTGGTCACATCCAATGACTCTTCCAGGTTTCTCAACCAATTCTGGTTTATTATAATTCCTTGATCTTGATACAAAGCACTTGTGTTAATTAACCATGCAGTTGCTTGCATTACTTTGTGAGGTCTTATATTCATTGAAAGTGCAGAGCTTTTGTATTGTAATCTTCGTTTAAGTTGAACTTTAATAGTACCCATATCATCTGATAGTCTGGGCAGCACATTAACAGTGCTGTTGACATCTGCAGGCACATTGACAACATTACCTGTAATCTTGAGTTGGCCACCTCTTGGGGCCTGAAAAATCTTTTGAAATGCCAACCGAGGAGCAATAAGTCGACATTCTAGTTCATTTAGATCAAAGAAAGAAGGTCTTTCTGGAAATTTCATGCCATTAGCAATTGCACAAGGGGGAACTTTGCTTTTCTTTAAATGGTTGTTACAAGTTTGACAAAGCCATTCAATGTTATCAACACTTTTTATACTTTGTAGATACTTAGTTATATCAGGATTGACCATTCTTAGTCTGTCTGCCAGAGAAACAGAATGTTTATACCATAATTGGTCACAGCAAGTGCAAACATACAAAGGTCCTGTAGATACAGAGCTATGAAAATTTCTCACAAGTGTCAATGTATCAATATCTTCACTAGGCAAGTAACAATTCTCAGCATTTGCAATATTTTGAACTGAATGTGATTCATTACTTTTCTTTTGCTTTTCAGAGCAAGTATTTTTTCTGGAAGCTCTCTTTCTTTCTTTCTCTTTTGCAATTCTTGCAATCCTTTGCTCAGTAGTTTCATTTTGTTTTGTTGCATTCTTAGCATTTCTATTTTTTGCAAGTCTAGCTTCCTTTTGCTCTGCTGACTCATTTTGTCTTCTTACTTTTGCAGCATTTCTATTTTTTGCAAGTCTAGCTTCCCTTTGCTCTGCTGACTCATTTTGCCTTCTTACTTTATCAGCATTTCTATTTTTTGCAAGTCTAGCTTCTTTTTTCTCTGGTGACTCATCTGGTCTCACCCTTTTTCTAAATGTATTGCCGATTATTTGATTGTTCAATTCTTTTCTGTTAACACTATGTTGTTCAAGTAGCTGAGTAGCTGTCTCTAAATCATTATTAGCGATGCACCTTAAACCCTTTAACTCAAATGGCAAAACAATATTTGCTTCATTGCACCTTGAAGTTAACCGAAAATACTCTGCAAGATTTTCTATTCCTTCCACTGATATCAAAACACAGTAATGCAATGCGGATGGTCTACCATACATATCTCGTGAATGAGAATCAAACACTTTAAATACATCAGGAAAAGGCATCATGATTGCCACAGTGTTCATACCAATTGTAAGTAAACAACTTTTATAGCTTAAAGAATGAAATACTTCATTCAGAGCATGCTCAAGAGTCACATATGGGAGATTATTTTCACTCAAATATAATGATCCTGAAAAGGAATCACTATATTGCAAATTAAAGGTAAGATTATCTATGTCTACAAACTTAGGCACATCAGTTAATAATAAATAACTCTTATTTATACTTTGGCTGATAACACAATACAAACTGTTTCCACTTACTAAAATTGAGTTTAGAATTGACTTGTCCCAAATATTGACAGATTTAATTTCATTGTAAACAATTGCATATAATGACATAGCTACACACTGTTTACCAGCATTCACACCAAACATTAGCTCATTACCTTGATTAAAATCAGCATGGATTGTACAAGCAGGGTCAACTATATCATTTATAGTCCTAGGACCTGGATTTTCCTCCACATCATTTGAAAGTCTCAGTAATAATGGCACATAAACATTGTGATAGTATATCATTGAACATACCATAAGAATAAGTCACTGTTTTTTGGCTATTATGCAATTGGCTCTTGAGATAAGGCAAGCAGAATACATTAAAGTAAAACATTAATAGTAATTGATTCCAAAGTATACCTTTAAGACGACACAGACTGTTGCGACAATCTGTAAAATTGTGATGTGAACCAATCCTGGCGCGATAAACTTCAATAGTAACACCCATATTTATGGTCTAGAACTCAGAAACCAAATGTCAATTCTTGAATTTATAAAGTCTCTTATTTGTCAGTAATCTGCCAGCAAGTCGGCAGGTATATTTGGGTTGCAAGTTGGCAGCAATGTTAAATAGTTTGTTTGTACGAGCACAACGGCTGTCGTTTTATATACCCGCACAATGGCTGGGTTCGATTTCAATACCTGCACAATGGCTAGGTTTAGTTTCAATACCTGCACAATGGCTAGGTTTAGTTTTGATACGTGGCCTTTCACGTGAATAGTACCCTGCTCTATGACGAGCAGTGCGAGCAACAATGGCTCCAGGTTGTTTGATTTTGATTTTTGATACGTGCACCTCCGACACGTAGAGCGCCTGACAAACCGTCAGTGCAGGCAAGTTTGCCCCGAATATATATCTACGCTCCAATAATCCGATTGCGATCGAAACTCCTCGACCACGGTAGAAAAACGAGCGATTAAAATAACAAATGTCAGATAAAATACACAAACTTTAAAGTACTCACCTTTGCTTTAAAATTTGACAAACGTATTAACGTAGTTCGGTTCTCTCATCCGAAAGGATCCGAAAGCCATGAAATTTTCCGGAAGTAGAACGAACAGTACGTTCGTCATCTCTCGTTCATCTCTCGTATATCCGACGATTGCCGAACATGTGGCAACAGACAGACAGACACATCCGGACAGTTTTTCGACTACATAGTGGTTAGCCGCGCATGCGCAGGCTACCCACAAAAACCCTAAGGCTCTAGCATTACTTGTTTGATCGGAATGAAACTTGGCACAATTATTCTAAGCAATATTCCGCATCGATTGACGGAGTTCGAATTTTTACTTTTGATCTTTGAAGCAAGTTACAAGCAATTCTTGATATATTTGCAGCAAATAATATATACATATCATTAATATTTAGCCTATATATAAGTAAACGGAAACGATTAGAAATACATTGTCCTCTCCATTGTTATAAATACAATGCAGTTCAGAAATTAAACTCGGTTACGCAGTTCCTGGTCCACTATAGTACGATCGTACTTGTTGTTTAGAACACCTTATCGAAAAACTTTCCGTGAAATTAAAAGAGGCTTTATACTGGCTGCGCTGAATGCCGGATTCGCTATATAAAACAATTTTTGTATTCCGTTTGCATTTTGCCGACTAAAATCGCTGCAAAAATGACATCTTGTGGAATAAGTAAACTTGTCTTTATTTCTATGGAATAAAATCTGTCCTTGTTGCCGGCCCACACTTACGCCTGTATTCAAAAACCTCACTCATGCTTACACTGATTGAGTGGGACCTATAAATTTTGTTAATGCTAGTTAATGAGAAAGTTATTTAGAAATTGGTGGAAAGATTTAAGGTAAAACACTGAAAATCAAGCCCCTATTCGGCTGGAAATATCGTCATGGAAACGTTATGATAACATTAAGATCTCCCACTCAATGAGTTTGAGTGTGAGTGAGCTTTTAGAATACAGGCTTTAAAATCAAATGTTTATTACAAGAATGTAATGTTCAAGCAAGCAAAATCCATGTTCGCGTTCCGTACGTATGCAAGTAAGGGTTCAGTTCTCCAAGCTGGCGACTTTCGTGCGAAGAAATTAAGCCAACGTTATTAAACGTTTGTTCAATAAGAGCTTGCTATATTCCACGGATTCAGCACTGTTAGCCATTTGGAAACTGTATTTTAACGATTGTTTCGTTCAGTAATGAGACTTTGTGTTCGTTTAACGCTTTCGGTGAATGTTAACTATTAAGTATCGGCACATTGAATAATTCGGGCTTGAAATATTTCCCCCCAGCACGTACCTATAATCGTCGTAGACGCACGTATCTCACAGAAACTTTACAGCGGAAGACACCAAGTAAATCGAAGCCACCGTAGTTTTATAGGGCCTGTACCAGCTGCCGAGATGCGTTAGATGTACTGCAGAATGTACACTCAAATGTGTACAGTGGATATTGGATATCTGACGGGCTGTGGATATTGTAATTTAAACGATACTGTGTTGTTTTTTCGTTGCCAGTGTTACGGAAGGCTTTATTCTGTTGAGTTATATGCAGATTAAAAATAGTTGTAAATAGGAAAAATCACCTGCAATGACGTGGATAAATAATTAATTTTTGCCACAGAGATATTTCGGCCAGTCGCAATCATGAACTACTTTTCCTTTCATGGATGGCATTTCGTGGGGTCAAATAAAGTGGTAAGGTGAAAACATCAATCACGCTGTCAGAACGTGCGCATCTCATCTGGATCAACAGTCGTATGTCGTTGCCAAGTTTAACTGTTACATTTAAAAATATGCATGTTTAAGGCCCCTGCAAAGCTCCCCGCATTCGGGCATTTTAAGCATGCATTACGTCAGAGAAAGCTTAATTCGATTAAAAGAGTAGTATACGCAGTTGTAAAATAAGGTTCACAGAAGCAATGTTTGAAAATCTTAATAGTTGTTGATGATAAATATTTTAAGTTGTGAACATTTTTAGGTATTGACCGATTCAGTTAAAGACCAACTCGACTAGTGCGACAACAACATATGACAGCTGGAACGAGCTTCTAACGCTAACACACAGTTCACGCTCAACGCTGATTGGCTGGATAAGGATCAGCCCACTCATGTTGATGACGTGAGCGGATGTCGCTCAACCGTTACTAGAGAGCTTTAGATTTGACTACGGCTCCCGCTACGGCTACGAGATTCGTCACTGTGGCGCGAAACAAACGTTGTATGCATACGCCACCTCGTACTGGCATGATAAACCTCTGCAAACACAATAATAAATGCATGTTTATCGTGTCAAATATTTTCGAAAATTTACGCCTACTATTTCGAAAAATACACATAATCAAAGGCCACGGTCACGAAAAAGAGTTATCTCAAATTATTTTCCGGAAAAAAGAAAAAATATCAACTTTTATTGCTTTTCCAATCACGTAGTGAGGACTACGAAGTTTTCTTAAAATGCCGTAGTCAGATGAGCGACGGTACGAGTCTATGGCGTCAGTACGAAGTATCACGAATATCACGTCAATGTGACGAATCTCGTAGCCGTAGCGGGAGCCGTAGTCGAATCTACGTAGTCAATCGTAGTCAAAGTGCTCGTTGCTGAATTGTGGACCATTATTACTCGTCATCGTATCCGGAGTCCCATACTTACTAATATGCATTTTTATCTTCTTGATTACAGTCACTGCTTTGGTGTTTTGCAGATGATCAACTTGAAACCATCCCGAGTATGTAACAACCGTCACCAGATACTTCTGTTTATCTGCCTGAAATATATCCATAACTATATTTTGCCACGGTCGAGATGGTACCCTGTGTGACATCCGGTTCTTTTTGTTGTTGTGGTTTGGCTTCGTTACATCTTTTACATTTGCGAACGCATTTTCTTACTACATCGATGGCCAATACACTGCTTCTCGCGCTCGCCTTTTACACGCTTCAACCCCACGGTGGCCGGAGTGAATTGCGTCAAGAAGCGTTTGAACCATTGTCTCAGAAATAACAATCTTTGCTTACCTCTAAGCACAATATCATCATAAACGGAAAGTGTTTCTGTAAAATCCCAATAATGCGTTATACTGGAGACAACTTCTCGTTTATTTTCCGGCCATCCTTCTAATTAATATCACTTTGCGTAAAATAGCCGGGTGGAGTCACACAGCATGCATTCTCATCTCGACAGTCAATTATTAAAATGACACCAAAACGCGCAGTACATTTTGAATTATAAACTCAAACGGAAAATTTTACGCAACTGACAATTTTCACACGTATATGAAAGTTAATTCAGAAGGTCGGCATATTTGAAAAGGTTAACGTTTCAAAAAATGGTATAATTATTAATCAATCCCTTTGACAAACGTATGCTATCCTGCATTGTCATTCAAATATATCCACTTAAGTAAATTGTCCGCCATTAAGAATTTATGGGGACAAGTCGCAGAGCTTGGAAGCTTTCGTCGAATTGGATAATGCTTTTCTATGCTTTTTAAAGAACGAAGCTTTGCTATTGGTTGAAGCAGAAATGTACTGTAAAGTTCAGCCAATGAAAATCATTCTTGGGAGACTTGACCAATTTATGTAAACATATAAGGCGAGTTGTAAGTTGAGCCACGCAACATCCTCATCATGGGAAATTTCCACCAACTTTCGATGTACACTTGCACATAAAGAAGCATTAAGAAAAATAAAAAAAATAATTAAAACATTTTCTAAGATAGAATATTGCAAAATGATTCTTATCCGTTATAATGCGAACCCATACTATTTTTTTTTCCAAATTAAAAAGGAGCTTTTTTCGTTTATCGCTTTTTTTAAAACTCTTTCGGGGTCCGTAGCACTCAGTTACAATCATGATTAACACATAACACATTTCGCGGAGCGCAATTTTCTTCGCTTTTCTCACATTAGTTTACACACATGAAAGCGCCCACACAATGAAGAATTCTGCCCTCCGGGCAAAATTCCGTCTTTTCGAAAACAGCCCTATGTATAGTACGACAAAATGGTGCTGTTAACAAAGAACCGACCGAATATTTCAGTGTGAATTAAATATGAATCGAATTTATAGTTTAAATTAAAATTTTTATCAAAGTTATGAATTCATTTTAAAGTTTTTCTGCCCTATGTAGCAAGAGGAATATCTTTAAATTGACAATGGCAATAACACCCCTAATTTTAAAATTTCTTCGTCACAATCCAATAATTGCGTAGCCAAAACAAATTTTAACAAAATAGAAGATGATATTTGCACGACTAATAAACTATTTTACAACATAACATTTATAGTATGCGCGTGCTGATTGGTCGAGAAGCGCGTTTCTGTAATTGTGGAGAAGCGTGTTTCTATGACTGTGTACTTTTCCCGCCGAAATTGACTTGCGAAGTGATGTAATGAGAATTTGCAATTCAATCAAATTAGAATATTTCTACAAAATCTTGTTATTGAGTTATATTGTAAAAGAAATAGAAAACATTTTTCCTGTGTTTCTATACAGTTATAGAAACACCTGTGGGAGTTTGGGAGAACTCGAAATGAACTCGCCCTACGAGCTCGTTTTCCCACTGATTATTTCTCATTCTCCTAAACTCCCACGCTTATTGCTACACGGAAATGTTTCTTAAGATTAAAATGCCGAAGGAAGAGCCATATGGTCAAACTGAGAATGGTTGTCTTACTAACATTTGTGCGTTAGTTTTCACCTCACGAATACTCCAGCCGGGTGAATGCTCAGTCGCAGAGGCCTTCTTTCGCAAAATTGATGGAAAATATTTAGCGAATCATGTTATCGAAACAAAACATGCTGGAACTGATTTAGAGTGCAGTAGGCACTGCGTTGCCCATGGGTCGTGTGTGTCAGTTAATTACAAAACCTCTGGAGTCGGTAAAGGTCGATGTGAGCTCAACAGCAAGACCCATCAAGACACATCTGACGATGATGAAAGTACGAGAAATCCCGAGTTCAAACATCTTTATATGATCAAAAAGGTTTGACTATAACGAGATCATTATAACATTTTTCTTTAAATTTCTGTTACTTCGAACCTGATCAACATTTTTTTGCTGCGAACGAATAATCCCGAGAAATATCAGAATGTCACGAGTAAATACGACATAGTTCTCTTTTTACATAGATATCTTCGAAACCAATTCCAACTTGTAACCCAAAGTCGTCACAAAACCCCTCCAAAGGTACGATAAACTTTTGTTTACGCATGAAATATTTGAAAGGCACGCTTAAAAGTCAGATAGATTTATCCGAACGGATAGTTATATACGTTGTCAAACAGCTAGAGCAAAGTCTCATGCACGCCCGACATCTTATTTCATTTCACTTTGTGTTTAGCTATCATGATTAAAATGCAAAAATAGAAAAGTCAATAAATAAATAGATAATATGTCACGTAGCATGATGTTGGGATAAGTAATCTACTGTTTTTGAACGCTATATAGCTATACAGGGCGTGTCAAAAAAATTTCCCCAATTTAAAATTTCCGTTTTTCAGGATATTTTGCAGAATTTGCCAGATTTTTTAAGACTTATCTGGTATACCTAGGGTTTCATTAACAAAATTATGTTACCGGGGGGTGGTTCCTATCCACTGATATTGAAAGGGCTTGCGCGCGAAAATGTGTAGCTGAAATTGAGATATTATTTAACTGTCTAAAAGTAGGAAAGGCTTTTAATAAACTGTCAAAGTTTCAGGAAAAATAATGAATACTGGGAGCACCGCGTGACCCCTAAAGCTGATGAATATTTCATTGCGCGCAGTGGATTAAATGCAGCGTTGATTTTAGCGTGACCGATCTCATGCAAGTGTGGGCAAATGAATAAATTAAAGCGAGAAACTGAACAAACAGACGAAGCGATTCAATAACAAGATGTTTAAATTAGCATATTTTGTATTACGCGCGGAAATTGTGTAACTAATTTAGTTACAAACTTCCGGCCGTAAGATTTCGGCTTTTCTCATCGGCCTGGTTTTAATGATTCCGGCTTTTCTCATTCCTGGTTTTAAAGATTCCGGCTTTTCCCATTCCTGGTTTTAAAGATTCGGGCTTTTCTCATTCCTTGTTTTGGTATACTACAAAATTTTGGCGAAATTTTCGAAATTTCAAAAATATAATTTTTACCCTCCCAAACTATTATTCTTTTCATATTCAAATCGTTTTTTCGTGGATTTTATCTGTAACTCGGAGTTATAGGGGTTTTTTTAAAGGAAATTTGAAATTTACATGCTTAGCAACGCCCTTAGCAACCGCAATTTGTGAAAACGCACCAATAAAACTTGTGGATTTTGTAATTTGTTTTCGGAAGTTGGTTGACCAATGCTCCTTACCCTCCCCCACACAATATTTAAGAATTTACCCCTTTTATTTAGTTTAACATGACGTTTCTAGCGTCTAAATCTATTGGGAAAATCTTTGATTTGCCACTTGCATTTTATACGCTAACGCTTTATTGTTGTGGGAAATTTGCTTCGTATTTTATTCATATTTCGAAAAGATCGTTGATTGAATGGGTAAAACACGTTCGGGGTACGCTAAAAAACGAAAGTTTTATGGAAATCAGCATAAGGCAGAGCGTGACAAACGGCAAAAGCAGGAACACTCGCAAGAACGTGCAACTGTGAGTTCGTCTTTGTCATCGAGTTCGACAAGTAATCCTGTTACTAATCTTGGCGCTACATCTACCTTACCAAAGACCCCAGTATCAGCATCTGGTCGTAAAATTAGTACACCAGAACCCAAGATGGTTGAGGACGCTGAGGTTAAAGCGACAGGCTTTAGTTTTATTGATATGGGAATTCTTACAGGAATTTTCAAGATGTTGCCATGCAAGGAATGCCAGCAGTTTCACTTGGAACTAGTTGAAAATGTACCTAAACGCAAAGGTTGTGCTTCCAATTTAGTCCTGCGATGTGCTGCATGTTCTTGGCAAGAAGAATTTTATACATCACCCAAGATCTCTTATTTCTACGAAGTTAATAGACGGTTGGTCTATGCTATGAGGTCAGTCGGTTGTGGTGCTTCATCAGCAGAAAAGTTTTGCGGCTTAATGAATATGCCACCAATCCCAAGGTGTGCACCGTATGCTGCCCACAATAAAGCCCTACTGAAAGCTGCCAAGGAAGTTTGCCAGGAAAGCATGAGTGATGCTGCAAAGGAGATTCATGATATAAAGAATACTCTTGAAGGTGAGGTGGTTGACTGTGGCATTTCGTGTGATGATACTTGGCAGAGACGTGGATACAGTTCACTAAATGGTTGTGTCACAGCAATTTCCATGGACACAGGAAAAGTTGTGGATGTGGAAGTGTTATGTAGATTCTGCAAACAATGTAAGAAACATGAAAATGATGATGATACCCCGCAAAACAATTCATGGAAAGCTGATCATAAGACAAATTGCAAAATTAATTTTGAAGGGTCAGCACCAGCAATGGAACCCGAGGGCGCTGTCAGAATTTTTAAACGGTCTGTGGATGAAAAGAAGTTGCGTTACACAGAGTATTTTGGTGACGGTGACAGTAAAAGCCATGGTGTTGTCCAGGATATATACAATAATGGTGATGATGCTGTGCAGGTGGCTAAAAAAGAGTGTGTTGGCCATGTGCAAAAGCGAGTAGGTACAGCGCTTAGGAAATTCCGTAAGGAGAATAAAGGAATGGGTGGTAAGGGAAAACTTACTGATAAAATGATTGACAAACTCCAAAATTATTATGGGATAGCAATCAGGAGTAATCCTGGAGACCTAGAGGCAATGAAGAAGGCAATATTGGCCAGTTTATTCCACTGTGCATCATCTGACAACAACAAATGGCACAATGCCTACTGTCCGTCTGGTTACGATAGTTGGTGTGGATTCATGCGTGACAAAGCAAGTGGAAAAAATGAATACAAACATGGTAAAGGTTTGCCCATTAATGTTGTTGCTGCTATTAAACCTATATATGCCAAGTTAAGTAACAATGAACTTTTATCAAAGTGTCTCGACTGCAAGACACAAAATCAGAACGAATCATTTAATGGCATGGTATGGAATCGTTTGCCGAAGCAGGTGTTTGTTGGGTCTGATGTGTTGCATCTGGGTGTTTATGATGCAGTGTCCCACTTCAACATTGGTGCAAGGGCTTCAATCAAAATCTTTGAAAGAATGAATATCAGCAGTGGGGATCACTGTTTAGCACAGTGTTCTACGGCAGACAAGCAACGGATACAAAGTGCTGAGCGGAAGTCGGAGGAGGAGGTAAAGAAGAGGAGAAGATTGGTGAGAGCCAAGAGAAAATCTAAAGGGGATAAACAGAAGCAAGCAGAAGGCTTAACCTATGCTTGTGGAGAATTCTGAAGTGAATTGTAGATCCTAAAGGCGAAAAACTTACAGTTTCTCAACTTGCGGAACTTTAAAGTTAATTTATGCAAGTTTGGATATTACACAAATAGTAGTAAAGCTATTGATTTGAAATTTTCAGTGGATCTTTAGAAGTTATGGATCTATGCTGTGAACCTCAAATATTTTTGTTAGCTTGAATGTTCTGAACACAATTACTGTTTTCCTCAGGGGAAACTGACATAAAATTCATATAAAATGATTTCGGGCCTGGAAAACTATTTAAGACTTAATATTTTTAAAAGATCCTGCTTTACAGCATAGATCTAGTATAGTAGCATCTATTTTGACCATTTATGAACAATTATCATCTAAAATGGCTTTGTAATCTTTTTAGCCGCAACGCCATTTTTTAGCTGCTGGGGGTAATTATCTTGGTAACTATGGCAACTACCATTCTGGAAGCTATGCCATTCCTCATTATTTTGTCAGGGGAATACTTCTATGTAAAAAAATCTTGCAAATATCTCTTTTTAAAAAAAAGTTATCCTTTTGTGGTATACCACCTTAAACATTCCAGCTTTTCCCATTCCTGGTTTTAAAGATTCCGGCTTTTGTCATTCCTTGTTTTAAAGATTCCGGCTTTTCTCATTCCTGGTTTTAAAGATTCCGGCTTTTCCCATTCTTTGTTTTAAACATTCCAGCTTTTCCCATTCCTGGTTTTAAAGATTCCGGCTTTTGTCATTCCTTGGTTTAAAGATTCCGGCTTTTCCCATTCCTGGTTTTAAAGATTCCGGCTTTTGTCATTCCTTGTTTTAAAGATTCCGGCTTTTCTCATTCCTGGTTTTAAAGATTCCGGCTTTTCTCATTCCTTGTTTTAGACATTCCAGCTTTTCCCATTCCTGGTTTTAAAGATGCCGGCTTTTGTCATTCCTTGTTTTAAACATTCCGGCTTTTCCCATTCCTGGTTTTAAAGATTCCGGCTTTTCACATTCCTTGTTTTATCATTCCCCGTTCCCTTCCCCGTTCCCTTTCTCGCTTCCCCGTTCCTGGTTTTAAAGATAGCCGACGCATTACTATTAGGCGTGCAAGAACTTTACAAAACCATGCTAATCATAACAAACATAATGTGCTATATATAGTCGCGAATATTATAATATGCATCGCAAACTTCAATATAATGCAAATTTTCAAACACTCCAACGAGTGCTGAGTAAGTAGGCTTATCCATTCTAGTGCATGTGCATTTTACGACGGGATAAGTTTTATAACCATAATATGATGAGCATAGGAACTAGGTAGATTATGATATATAAAATCAGTCGAGATAAGACCAAATGGCTTATCGACCAATCAAATGAGCCGGCTGACCTACCCGATTCTGCGAGTTTTTTGCGTTTTACCGCTGCTCTGGATAAAAGAATATTGCTTTTTTGAAACTGAACCCTTTAAACTGGACTATGATTGTAATTCTTAATATAATCTCGAAGGAGGTTTATTGTTCATATTTTAAGATAAATTTGAATATTTAATTATCATTTTTACTGCCAAAAACACGTAAGTCGCGCTACTGACTGGACCATAGATTCGCCCCTGCTTACTCTAGTATTACTTAGTTGCTAATTGGTTTTATAGCTTACCTGCCACGATAGATATACAGTAACATTATTCATGTTATCTTCTTTTAGTCATAATTATAAAGGTGATTATTAAAAATTTTGGTGTCCTATAAAAGCAGTATCGAAATGGGCGAGAGTTGTTTGTGTCAAAGTGACCGACGATTAACTCATGCATGTTACGTTATTTTTTCCCACTTCTCAACATTTGAAGACGATATTTTTAACGATGTTTTGAGAAGTCAACCATGCCTTTGATCATGATTAAACTTTAACTACGTCTTGGCTACAATAACGCTAAATACTTTTTACTACGTGGTTTTGTATTTTAGGGTTTGGCTCCAGAATATTTAACGCGAATGTTTCATGTCTCTGTTAACCAAAAAAACCAACTACGAAACAATCATCAAAAGCTTTACCTATGGAAATCCAAGACAAATTTTATGAAACGAAGCTTCTCTTATAGAGGAGCTGTCTCCTGGAATCAAAAATTAACGGAGAAATTTCCGATAACAAAAATATCTGAAACGTCTATCGGCTCTTTTAAAAAACTGATCGATGCCTTGTGTGTTTGAGCAGGGAGGCAATATGTAAATTTATAGTGTGTATATACAAGTATTTTGTAGTAAATAGCTTTTAAATTTTTATATTAGTTATAGTGTGCACGGCCCTTTGAAAAACAGACTTCTGAAAGGTAACCGTGGTTAAATAAGTTTAAATAATAATAATAATAATAATAACAATATTTCGCTTCAAATGGATCATATTTCAACATGTACAATAACTTTCAAAATATACCCAGCTAAGACGGAACACTCGAAAATACAATTTTTACGATGGGCAAAATTTAGAAAGATTTTTAAGGATGTCCGCGAAATGGATATTTTTTCCCGAGAACAAATATATTATTCAGCAGGCCTTTCCCCGTTGTTTGGTTTCTCTTCGCATTACCCGCATTTCTAATGTTGCCCGCGCCGATCGCTCCCTAATTTTCCCGCCCGCTCGCAGTCTTATGAAACGCCTGTGGAGGAAGTAGAACTTGTACACTGACTTCAATATAACGATGATAACAGCTGAATATTCCACACCATTAATAATAGTTGGCCGAAGTGTGCTTCATGGAGACTGTCTTAGTCCTTTACTTTTTAACTTGTGTTCATGTCGCAGCGAAATCACATATATACATGTATTTATAATTGATGAATTATGAGGTCTAGTAGGCGAAAGTAGGCAGAGTTATGGGCGATATTAAACGACATTAGTTGATCTTGGCCCCAAAGTAGGCCTGCTTCTCAGCATTACCTGCTTCTCTGTTAAACTAAGTGCTGAACTAGGAACAGTCATCAGTTTTGGTATGAAAAGTTTAAAAACTATCCCAAAATTAGATAAAGTCAGGAAATTTATGTGTGAAATGATGAAAAATACGAAAAATATAGTCGTGCGAGTTTAGCATAATGTGTATAAATTAGTATTATGTAATATTATTATACTACAAGCTTCAATTCCGGTGAAATGGAACTCAGTGATTAGCTGAGAAGAATTTTCCGTAAATGGACCGGCGTTCGCGGCGATCCATTACGAGATGAAAAACAGAGAAACTCTGAATGAAAAAGGCTCAAGTAAATGCCCAAGAGAAAATTTAAATGATTTTAAAATTAATAAAGGCAGTTTAGGTAAACCGCTAAATAATTCAATATTGAGTTTCCTGGCAGTTTAGGTACTGTATATATATATATATATATATATATATATATATATATATATATATATATATATATATATAAACAGTTGGTTTTTTTGTATATATTTATATATATTTTTAAGATTTATGTAAATGAATAAATATATATTGCTCTATTTGCTTGCAGTATTGAGCACTCTTTTATCTCATACGAAGAATTTCTTAATAATTGTTTATATATATATATATATATATATATATATTTATATATATATATTATATAATATATATATATATATATATATATATATATATATATATATATATATATATATATATATATACACCCATTTGCAAAAACGTTGGCCGCAGATAGATAGATAGATAGATACTCGAAGTCTAATTAGAAATGCACATGACTAGATTTGCATGGGATTTCAATCATATTACACAACATATGCAATTCTAATTAGATTTCGAGTATCTATCTATCTATCTATCTGCGGCCAACGTTTTTGCAAATGGGTGTATATATATATATATATATATATATATATATATATATATATATATATATATATATATATATATATATATATATATATATATATACATATACTGAAATATGGGAATGGGCCATTAAACGAGCAATTTGGTTGTCTGTTGTTCACATACCTGGTAAAGAGAACACTAGGGCAGACAAGAAGTCGCGCAACATCTCAGACAGACATGACAAAATCTCAGTTTTTAATAGCTCAGTACAAGGATGACAAAACGATCTGTCCCCTAGAAGTTTTAGGGGAATATTTGGACAGAACCAAGGCAATGCGAAAGGATGAACAAAGTCTGTTCATTAGTTACATAAAGCCGCACCATAAAGTGTCTAGAGATACCATATCCAGATGGGCAAAGAGTGTGCTTGAAAGTCCTGGGATTGATACAGCAATGTTCACAGCACACAGTACAAGAGCTGCTGCTGCATCGAAAGCTAAACAAACAGCAGTCCCACTCGATGTTATTTTGAAAACTGTCGGCTGGAAGTCAGATCGAGAATACATTCCGAAGATTTTATGATAAACCTATCACAGACACGGGTGATATGGGTGCAGCTTTGCTGTCATCCCAAGTTTCCTAACTGTATAAAGTTGATTAAATTGTTGTTTGTCCGCAACTTTGGTGGGGTTTCCTGTATATTCTATTGTACACTTTAGTCAAATATATTGATATTATGTTACAGTGTACATCGGGTTTTTCATACATGTGGTTGTGCCAGGCTTTAAAGTCTCATGGGATCTCCATGCCTCCCAATCATGTCATAGAATTGAAAAATTAAACGGGACTTACCTGGAAATTGAAGTTTGATTGAGATTCTATCACATGATTATGGGAGGCAGGAGATCACATGCCCTGCCCTTCTATCCCCCCCAATACAAAAGTGTTGTGGGCATCTGGTTGGCATATAGGTTATTGCTATACCGCGACCATATTGTTACACTGGCACACCCACAAGCAGCCAAGAATGATTGACGCATGCGCTGTGCTATCTCATGTGATCTCCTGCCTCCCATAATCATGTGATAGAATCTCAATCAAACTTCAACTTCCAGGTAAGTCTCCTTTAATTTTTCAATTTTATATCATATTTGAAAATATTATTACATTTTGAAGAAGATATAAAGCGAAGCTTGTAAATAAACCGGCGTTATTTAAAACTTTATTGCGCAGTACGGACTTTACATCATCTTTAGAAATACCGATTTAAAATCGAAGGTGCCCGTTTTGTTTTCTGCCTATGCCCTACACGTGCCCAAATGTAGGGAATAAATATAAACCACACTAGTGGTGTCCTACAGCTTTGACAATGAAACCGTCCCTATACATATCTTAGCTGCCCTTCTTATTAACCAATAGTGCCCTCGGAGGCTGTTGCCACCTAACCCTTGATGCTTCCTACGCCCCTGCCCATATATACCCGCGATACTTTTGGGGTGAATCGAGCCTTTGTTTGCGTGTTTCGTGTTATGGCGGGTTGATTTCTCTTTACTTGCGTGAAAGACCCTTATACCCTCTACTGTAGTTATACAACATATATTGGTGGGATGTTGGTTTATGTGATATCTTAAATGGGTTTAATTTGGTCAGGCTGAACGAAAGGTTTTGCTCACAAAACACAGACGGTTTTTTCTGTAATGAACAAATTGCTTCAAAATTGATATTAAAATAAGCCTTCGATTGATTTTTTTTTCTAATTTTGACTAATGAAAGCAATCTCATTTAATGTACGAAATTTAAAGAAAATTCACCGAGAGAAGTTACGGAAATTCGCAGTCTCGCGCGAGAAGTCACGGAATGTATACGAGTAACGTAACCCTCGGAGAAAAACCCTAGGAAGCCACCTTTATAAGAAGGATGTCACGAGTTGTGCTACAAGTGGTAGTTGTAATACTGAACATGCACAATTCAACGAGAACGAGTAGCCTAATTAACCGAGCGACTCAGTTGTCTGCACTCGTTTAAACTCGCGCGGCTACTGGATGAGACCTTAAATATGAATTTTCGAGAAGCACTTAGACGAATGTGATAATTTCATTCCGTTCGAAGCCGATTACCATAAACAATTCACTGACAACGAACAAATAAAACTTTGAACCTAGGGCTAGACGACTTGTTTACGGAAATGTTGAACAATTGGCGTGTCAATTACCCTTATGATATCAATTGCAGTATATTTTAAACAATGCACTCTTGAGAGATATGTATAGCCCTTTGGCTTTGCTTGCTATGAAATTAAATGCTGTGTTAAAATTTCTGCAAACAGCTTTGACTTTGATACGCACAATGCCTCCTCGTCAAGTTGTAAGGTTAAGAAACCAAGAAAGGAGAATAATTTTAAGGTACTATCGACATAACAGTCCATTGTGGGATATCGTTAGTAACGACAGCAACAGTCCATGGAAATAGATTCCATGCCATCGCTAGCTACTGCTCGGGTGTAGGCTATCTCACCATTTTCCTAATCATTTTCCTAAAATAATGCCACATTACAGGAAGTAGTGTCCGAATTTCTCTTTGTACTGTTGTTGGGCTCACCATGAAAATACCACTAAGAAGGGCAACTTGCGGGTAAATCCATCGCCATACAATCACCATCAGAATGCGGTTTCTCAAATGAACAAAGGCTACCAATTTGTTAGCCCGCATTGGCAGGCGGTCCCTGAAATCGGGCGAGGCGAGGACACTGATGGCGAGGACAGCGAAAGACCGCCTGCCGGGTTTGGCTATGTTTTTTGTCAACCGCCCCTTTTCTGTCTGGGAACAATTAGCCAATCAACAAACAGCTAATATATTAATAGCAAAACTGTGTTATTGAGTAACTAGGATTATTATATATTCCGGTTATTTATTCAACTCTGTTCCTCGAAACAATCGCTCAAAATGTAGTAGGAAAAATGAAATTTCAAAATAAATAAATATGTCAAAAGAAACGCCAAAGAAAGTTACAACCAGGGCAAGAGGTAAAAAAGCAAGCGCAGAAAAAGTAAATGAGCACTGCCGTTTGTGTAAGTGTACGTTGAAGCTAAAATATGGGGCAATCGCAAAGGTGTCCAGAAGAAAAGAATTCGTCAGTGGAGAAACCTTGGCCGAGTTGTGTTCACTACATTTAGGTATCGAAGTTAGTTCTTTCACGGAACTATCCGACCGAGTTTGTGAACCGTGTGGGCGAAAGATTCGAAACGCAAGCGAGCTGATTTCTTTGATAAAGCGAGACATAAACGCGATCGCTGAATCGAACAAAGAAACCTTTGTAAAGCGTCAATTACCCACGACCGTCCTGTCCCCCGAACGAAGCCCTGTCGTTAAGAAAGCCTTAAGAAGAACAGAACTCGAAGCAGCTCATGGGCCTAAGCCGCCTAGCCGAAGTGGTCCTGCGAGGAAAGCTCTTTTTGTTAGAGAAAATGTCGAATGCGCGGAATCGACGGGAACACTGCCAAAAGAAAACGATAGCACACTTGACCCATTGTTGTCAGCCCTAAATGTAGATCACCTTGACGAGAAATCGACGACGCAACTAAAAACGGTAGTTTTGCAACCCAACGGGATTGTAAAAAATTATGAATCATTTGATGATACGACAAAGTCTTTAATAATCAACCTCATTCTGAAGAAATGGAAACCCGCAGCTAACATAATCTTCAAGTATCCGGAATTGAAAACAGAACTGTTTGATCCGCTGAAAAGGACAGTTAGTGCGGAATTTAATGATTATTGTTCGAAAAGTGACGATTTCGAGTCAATGCTCAAGCAATGTCATCCCACTGATCTGGAGTCTTTCTCAAACAAGCTTTTTTTAACAGAAGTCCGACTGTCTTGCCCTTACTGGATGTCATGCCTGATGGGGGCATGTAACGCACCTGGTGGGAATAGTCAAAGTATCAAGCAAATAAACTACATGGCTTTATCTTCAGCAGTTGCTGCCCGTTGTAGAAATCAATTGATGTCAGCAGTTGCTTACAGAATCTCGGCAATTCTTTTCCATAGTGGTGTAAAACATCAAGACATTCGTCGCTTACACAAACTTGGTGTTTGTATGTCTCCAGATATGATAATTGATATGGAAAGGAAAATGGGAGAAGGTTGTGAAAGAAAGCTCCTTTTGTGGAAAAAAGAAATTGAATTGAATAAATCTGCTGAGTTGCTTATGAAAAAGTAAAAGAGAAACAAGTGACGAATGTGGTTTCCAGAAATGCAGAAGACGACATGGAGTTGGAGGTGGTGGTGGATATGTCAGAGACAGTGGTACAGGATGTTTGGTGAAGATACATATAAACAATGTAAAACGCTTGTTTTGCATGGTAATGATGATTTGTCTTGTGTCAGCGAAGAAGATTTAGAATCTGCAATACAGCTTCAACACCATAAAAAGCTGCCATCATACAAGTAAGATATTTATTAATTTAGTTTATTAAGTTTAAGTGTCAGCACTAGTCCAATATTCACCAGATGAGTAAATCTGCCATTAAAATAACAAATAATCTGCCATGTCATATTTTTGCTCTATATACTGTAGTAGAAGTGGCGAGTTGAAAATAGTAATGTTGTGGTAGTCCAATAATTTTATTTTTGTGCAGATTGGTTGGTGACAACATTGACACAATGATACATGCCAGAATTCAAACACAGAAATTACACGAGAATAGGTCTATCCATTGGACCCAACAGTATGGAATTCTAAACCGTGTAAATGAACCATCACTAGACAGATCAAGACCACAGAAACCATTACAAGAGATCCAGTTAATAAAGCTGCTGCCAGGTAAATATGTACAGGAAAACCTGAAGACAAGATGGGCTGCATTAGTTGCAAGAGTGATATGTAAATATCTTGGGAAATTTAAACATCTCAAGAGAGCTCTAGTTTACCATATTCAGCACAAGTATTCCAAAGAGATGGCTGATAAGTCAGAAACGGTAATAAATTTAAATTATTTTTTTTAAACAATCTAATTTAGTATCACATCAACCCTAATAGCCTGCATGTTATGGTACCTGAATGTATATGGTATTCAACCCACAGTGCATTGCCTGGTTCTATAAATATATTTTTAATGGCTTTATTCTATATAGTGTTGCCTAGGAATCCAGTTTGCAAATTCAAATGTTGCAAGTGAGATGGTACAACTTTTGCAAACAAATCATGAAAGGTATGTTCCAGCTATAAAATGTGAAGATGGGAATATTATACTGGAACAAGTGCCATTGCATGGATATCAACTTTTTGAAGAAAGATCAAGAAATGCGAAGTGGAGTATGCAAGATGGGGATACAGAGTGGGACAGGCTGGATGGAATTGAGACAGAGTTCGCTGATTGGCATGCAAAACTGAATTTATATATGGTAATTTTATAAAAAACTGATAAATTAATTTTTTTCAGATCTGAGAGGTTAGATTCTCCCATAATATTGTAATCCTTCGACCTCTAAGCTTTAAAGCCATATCTCATAATTTGAAAACCTTGTTGGTCTCTCATTTTTTTAGATTGAATTCAGTATCTTCTCATCTCATTCTTCCGTGAATGAAATTGGAACATCTCGAGCTAGTATGAATAGGACTGGAAAAATAAATGCTTCAAAAGGTGTAGAGAATAATTACAATGAATATAAAGAATTTCATCTTTGTGAAACAGAAGCACATATATGTGCATCTTTTATGGAAATGTGTGGCATGTTGAATATGGAAGGTAATTGAATTTTTTATTGCATTTGGAGCACATTTTGGTTTGTCTTCAGTTTGGACATTAATTGGACATTAACTGTATATAATATAAAACCAATAATTCTGTACTTTAGATATTCTTTCAAATATCTGATTAATGGAAACAACACTCTAACTATTACTGAAATTGTATGCAATTTTTGTAATCACAATGCCTTTTGGATAGACACTGTAAGGTACTATCTCAAGTGATATGAGGGTTCCAAATTGTTTTTACATTTAGATCATCCTACATTTGATGTACCTGATGACAGTGTCACAAGAGAAATTCAAAGAAAATGGTTGATGGAGACATGTGCAAAATTTGTTGACAAGTATGTGATGCAACTGGATGTGAGCACATTGGTTCAGAAAATTGAAAAATTTGATGAACAGAATAGAGAAATAGAGGTGAACCGTTCTCTGGCGGGTTTCGTGTGTAGAGTACCTGGATGCAAAGTAAAATATATCAGCCATTCAAACAGGGTTAAGTAAGTAATTTTTCTACTTGATCAAGTATGATGCCACACTTGTATTATGCTTTGGATCTCTCAATATTTGTCAGAGTGTTTGCCCATGTCTCTCTATTAGCTAGTTATCATTTAAAAGTTTGAATAAATATAATGTTTGTTGCTCTCTGATGCCTGCTAGGATAGGTTTAGGTTTAATCAATTTCAGTATGCATAATTTATGTACTGTAGCGATATGTGTACTATTATAAAAATTACATGTATTCTTTAGACATGAGCAACATGATTAAAGAAATTTTACCAAGAAATTTTACATGGCTATCAAACATGTGTTATGATGCTATTTTTTAATAACAACTAATCTATCTAAATTAACAGGCATGAAGTTACAGCACACAAAATAATTAAACAAGTGTATGAAGAAAGTGGTATGGAAAGAGATGAATTTGGTTACTATTACTGTAAATGGGGGTGTGGCCTAGTATATATTCTACATCATCAATTAGAAACAGGTAAGTAATGGATATAGATAATTCAATTAAATATGAAGTAATCCTTGGTTATATGTGGATCATACTAATTGTGTCATATGTCTTGCCTTCCGACATGAAATTGGAAAGCATTCCCAAGTATTTGATCCTGACTCAACCCACTCAATTGAAATCAGTGAAAGGCAAGAGGAGGACAATCTTTACAATTACCACTGTGCTAAGTTAACATTTGGACTCCTTCTAATGGAGTTCAATGATGGAATAAAAGAGGGTGATGGGGAAAGACTTATTGATGTGTATAAAGTGGCACTTCTTCTATTCAAAGAACATGGCAAGACCAAGTATGCATATGAAGTGCTTTTGTTACTTGTTAAGATTAATGGCATTCTTTCAAAATATGATGCACACAACTTGAAGTGGAACAGGTTTTTTAACAAGCATGGAATAAAGGGAGGAAAAATTCCCTTAGATTTAAGAATGGAGCAACTGAACAAGATTGTTAAAACCTTGTGGAGATCTCTAGGTGCAAACCTAAATGAGGCATCCGTTGCAAGGCTTGCTAACACTGTTGATGAGATGGAAGCAATTCTTGATGAAATAGACCAGGACTGTGACCTTGCTTCTAATATTGGTTACAGATCCAAAGGCAAGCCTGAAGTTGCTGTAGCCCAAGTTACTAAGGATCTTGTGAAAATAAATGCATTCAAATTTTGCAAAGGCAGAAAAGGTCACCCAACATTTGCAAACTTCCCAAAAACACTTCTTGGAAGATTGAATTATAGGGATTTACATGCATGGTTGAAAGGTCATATCAAAACATGGGATTAATTCTGCCTATAGAGATTAGAAACAGCCTGAACACAAGACAGTTCGAAAATCATTCTATATTTTTTCACTATGTATTTATATGTACTCAAATTTCCAATGTGAATAGGTGCACAATCAGTCAGAAATTATACTTAAACAATTAAATAAAGTCATACTCATTCAAATCTTCAGCCAAGGCAGTTTCATGGAATTCACTTTGCAGCAGATCATCAAGTGAAAATTGTTTGAAATCAGTAGTGCCACCATCATCATCAGTACTTTGAAATGTGCTTTCATCAATGTCATCAAACACCTCATTAATTACACTAAGGACTTCTTTAGCATGGACTGTAGAGAACACAGGGACACATACATACATACATACATACATACATACATACATACATACATACATACATTTTATTGAGGCTCCCTGCGAAGGGCTTTTCAGCAACAATGTATAAGAATACAAATATAGAATATTATAAAAATTAAAAATCGTCTCTCTCTCTCTCAATCATAATCACTCTCATATAAAATATAATCATTCTATTCGTAAATGCTTTGCTAACAGTTTCTTAAAGGCATTAATATTTTTGGCATTCTTTATTGACTCTGGGAGCCCATTCCATAGTTTTGATCCATGGAACACAAAAGATCTTTGTCCCGCGGTCAATCTACATTTAGGTAAATTAATCCAAGTCTTGGGCATGCCTTGTAGCTCTGCTGTGAATATCAGATCGTTTCCTGAACTTCTGTGTAAGGTAGGTTGGAGTGCTCTCATGCATGCACTTATACATCATAACGGAATCATTGAAGAAAATTTTTTTGTCAATATTAAGCCATCCCAGAGTTCTTAAGCCTTCAGAAATGTGATCAAATTTCCTTAGTCCAAGGACGATTCTTGCCGCAAAGTTCTGTACAAGTTGAAGTTTATTTTTGTTCTTTTTTGAGGTGTTACTCCAAACTGAAGAACAATAAAAAAGTTTAGTAAACACAAATGAATGGATTAGCAGAAGAAGTTTTTTTTTGTCTAGTAGATGCTTGATCCTGTCACAATATAAAATGTCCTTAATAATATCCTTAAATGTCCTTAAATGTCCTTAAGGACACAATATAAAATGTCCTTAATAGTGAACAACTTGTGGCAATTGTCCAGCACATCTGAAATAGCTTCTTTGGAGAAGCCATAGCATGATAACAGGCCAAAAGCAGTTATATTTCCACCTATAGAAAACTGTGTCTGGTGAGCTTCAAGTGCATCTTTCAGTAGAGATCTATCTTCTTCATTTACAGACCGGCGAAGTGGAGATACATGTAACATTGCATCACCAGTTATTGTTTGTTGTTCATGGGGAATTTGAACCACTTTACACTCCAATGACCCACATTCACAATTCTTAGAACAAGTATTGCAGCAAATGTGATGTGGTGATAAAGGAGTTATGGTCTTATCAAATTTACTGTAGCTTGCTACGCGAAAACAATCAGATGATTGTAGAAATTCTCTCATCTCATTCTCAACATGTGCAACTTGCTGGCCATAATAGAACAGTACAGTATGAGCTAATGCTCCTTCTCGCCCGGCTCGCCCTGCTTGCTGGTGAAAATCTAAAAGATTCCTTGGTGGACCATACATTACCACGTATTTTACGTCAGGAAAATTTACGCCCATACTCAAAGCTGATGTAGCAACCACAACTCGTTTTGTACCACTTCCTTTTAAAGATTAAAAAATGCGTTGTTTATATTTCTCCTTAATCATTGAATGAAATATGCCAATCAAACAGTCCTCTCTCTTCTTTGAGCTGTTTGGGTAGAATGCATATGTGCCAAGTTTCATTAGTAAATAGTTCACTACTTGGGCAAGAGCATAGATTGTGTCACAAAATATAATTGTTTTTGGCATGACAATATTATATTGTTTTATCATGTTGGCAATCCAATCCAGTTTGGAAAGCATAAGTGTTTTTGGCACCTTGTTTATATCAAATCTCAAATTTGTTCGATTTGGACTGACAAACAACTTTGTTGCATCAGTTATTGCCAAATTGGAACAAATGACCTTCTGTGTCACCTCATCAGCAGTGCCAGTTAGTGCTAAATAGGTGTTCCTATATTAGAGAAAAATGTTACAAATTTAGAATAGGGTTAGGGTTGATTTACTTAACGTTACACAAATCTGTGCACAAATACCTATTAGCTATTGCAATTAAATTATGACAGTATGAAAGAATGACAGGTGTATTCAAAATTTTTGTGACAAAATGACTAACTTGATTCCATGCTTTTCTTGTTATAAAATTTGTATTTAAATTTAACTACTCACGTTCTTTACACATTGATCTCAGAATTGCCAGTTTGCCATAAGCATTTCTGAATGCTTCACTCTGGATGCTTGATCCTCTTTTACTTCTATCAAGGTAAATAAAACCAAGTGTTTTTTTCCAAAAATACAAAAAAAAATATTAGAGATAAAATATAATTTATCTTAATTACCTTTTCCCCGTCCACGTTTCCACAGTATGAGACTCGTCCACGACAATAAGAGCAATGGATCGATGAATCGCAGAATTGCTGTTCTTGAGCGAATCAAGAAAAGCTTTATTGATTGCGCTTTCCGCGCTTGCATAAATATACTGCGGTGGAGACTTGACGACTTCTGAAATGTTCTTATCCGAAAGTTCCACCGCTGAGAAGTCCATCGAAAGCATCTCAGCTATTTGATCTTCTATAATACTGCGTAGAGGAGAAATAACAAGAACGCTACTACGTTCAGTTTTATTTATTTTTGCCATATTTTCTTGCGCCAACAAGAACAACGTAAAAATCAAGCTTTTCCCATAACCAGTGGGGAGAACGGCTAAAACATGCTTCCCAAGAAGTAAATCTTTAACCGCTATCTCCTGCTCGCGTTTAAGAACCAGTTCTCGTTTCGATTTTCGAGAATTGTTAAGTTTTAAAACAGCAGAGCGAACACAATCGTCAATAAATTCCGCCATGACCAGACGCGTGGAATATGTAAAGTAATTTGATCTAGTTTTATGTTACATATTAACAATATTTACTCTTGATTGACAGCGGATTAGACTCGCGACCATTCATCAATTCCCGTCCACCAGTGGACGGGGTTTTTAAAAAACATAGCCAAACCCGGCAGGCGGTCTTTCGCCGTCCTCGCCTCGCCCGATTTCAGGGACCGCCTGCCATGCAGGCTACCAATTTGTAGAAACTCTCAATTAACAAGGCGGATGATTGTTGGGGGTACAGCGGATGATTGTTGGGGGTACAGTTTACCTATATTAGTTATATTGGTTTAATAAAGCGATTTAAACATTAAAATTGCAACAAAGGTTTATCTCATCGTTCAATATTATGTAGTTTTTCTACCGATATTTCAATACTTCTTCTAATTCCAGGGAAGTATATACAGAGAAAATAAAACATTGAATGCATTAAAACGTAGTTTTAGTTATAAAGGCGCTGCAACTTGGAACAATATTCGATATCAATAATGATATTTTAACATAGTTCCTCCATATTTTAATATTTTAATATTTTAATAGTTCTTCTTTTAATATTTTTAACTTTGTTAACACACGGCCATCTGAAAATCAGCCTTTTTATTTTTGCATGTACAT